GGTATTTCTATTGGTGTTAAAAATATAGAAATCCCGTTGCAAGTGTGACGTCACGGACTTCCCAAAGACGGCAGATTGACACAGTACAGTTCACTATATCACTAGAGTTGTGTAACTTGTACAAAGTAAAGTAGGTGAGGGTAATCTATGTTAATTTATTTGACTTTCAGACACGAACATAGACGTGAAATGTAAGTGCATGAGATGTATTTTTTTCTGCTTCTAATTAATAAAAGGGATTTCTAAAAGACTACAGATTCGTACAATTGTAGAAAATCGTTAACTAAGTGTTATTTAACGGGCAATAGGACTCTTATTATATCTGGCATTATTAAAAACATCGTCAATGTATATTCTTATTTTAACTGTGAATTAATGTTTGACGTTCATAGTAATTGTTGTTGACGTCAATGATTTATGTGAACAAAAAAGATGTCAGGTCAAAAACATAGGTCAAGAGCATTGATTTCAGTTGTAGAACTCTGTAATATTTTAGTAAAATGATTGCCTTTATGAAGATTTGTACTTAAAACATTGCTGTGAAATTGATTTTTATGTTATTCTTGTTTTCACTGATAACGTAGTGTCTAAATAAGTTGTTTTTGTTTACAAAATAGTTTGATTATACGTTTCAAGAAGTTAAATTTATATAGATTTCTTGTTGGTGGTAAGCATAAATCTTATCGCGGCAATAACAGGGACGTAGCAAGTCGTAATTTCAGTGGAAACAATCGCTCAGATATGAGAAAACAGCATTTTTAATTACATCTTATCGATGCTATAAACATTTCCTATTGGTAACGTACCAAGTATTGTAAAGTAGTACACAGCTATTGTAAAATAGCGTTACACACTATTCTAGAGATACTTACTCTATACGTAAATTAAAAAAAAAACTTTCCACAAAATCTGAATTTCTTCGATAAATCGATTGTGATTTTTCCGAGTAATATCTAACGGGGATTAAGATGGGACAGTAATAAATCGATATATTTATTAGTAATATCTTATATATTAACTTTCACAAGAAAAAGTACATTTTCTGTACACTTAATCGTTATCAATATTATTGTACTTAAAAGTCGTTGTTTGTCTATTTAAAGCTAGTGATTTACCGATATCTTGATAAATTTAATTTGCAGAAAACTTTACTACGAAACTGGTGTTAACAACTTTCTCCGTTCCTTTTACCGGTTTAGAGTAGGTTTAATGTAAAGGGCATCTTGTTACTTGTATTTCAGTTTGCCATTTAACCGTTCGGTTAGGTACACCATATTTTTTAATGAAAAAATTAATCAGTAGTTGACGAGAAATTATTTTAATATTCAATTATTTTAACTAAATATTAATGAACGCTTAAAAAAATTTAAGTCATTTTGAATCTAGAAAAACCAGAACCATTTTAAACGAGATTATCGTAATTTATTCGTGATATAAAAAAAATCATGCTATATATACTCATTAAATATGTCATTGTCACGAATTTGTCGCGTGGTCAGCGGACGATGTCGCAACACCAATAGTAGAGACGGTACGTCCGCACCACTGTCCCTCCCGCAGCTATTCTAACGTTCATATTTTTGTACTACACATGAAATATTATATATTGCCTCATCAGGGGTCTGGTGGTCCATCAGGATACCACCCTACTTTGGACTCCAGTCCCCTGCCCAAAGGATAATTTGTAAAGTTGTTTTATTTTACGTCGACTGGTTATGCAATTACAGTGTTTTGTTTCTTTTCAATTATTTTCTTTAATTCATTCACCTATCGAGCATCGCTGGCTCAAGGGTTTAAGCAGTTGACTTGTAATCTACAGGTCTTTGTTTCGAATCCCGCCATGTACCAATGTGATTTTCGAATTTCATATGTACAATATTTACCCGACGTTCTTACGGTGAAAGAAAATATCGTCATGCAACTTCCACATATCGGCGAAGAAATTCAATGATATATCTGAAGCCAACCTACCCGCAGTGTTAATTACATGATAATTAACCTATTACATTTAGTGGTTAGTTGACTGGATTTAAATTTTAAATATATCACACTCGTCAAACAAATAAAATCTTCGTAAAACTGTAACCGAATTTTACTTATTCCAACCTACAAGAATAGACTAAAATGTTACTTTTATGTTCCTATGCCAGCAGGATAGCATTAAACAATACCGTTACATCGTGGTTTATTCATTATATTGAAATGACGGCGGCCATTCTTTCAGTATTGTTGCTTCAAAAGATGGCCGTGATACATTCATATCAATACATCTCATCAGCATCGCTTCTCATTCACCATCGACGAGATTTGCACGACGTTTTACCGTTTCTTTTGTAACCATGTAACAGTAATGCATATTCTTCAGTTAAAATCTGTTAATACTAGCTTTCGCAACTTGTCCGCGTTGAATTAAAGAAAAAACGAAACTAAGTAGCCTATGTGTTCTTCCAGAGTATACTCTATATTTATTAAAATTTTCCTGGTGGTCCGTTTAGCAGTTTAGGCTATAAACTCCAAGCATTCATCCATTCACCTAAATTTTCGCATTAATTTCTTATCAATTATCAAGTTTCTCTAGCTTAGCTTATTTTATGTTCTTTCTATGAGTAGGGTAGGCTCCGAGCCTCTCAGTGGGAACCTTTATCTGGTGATGATGTTTCTATTGAGTTTATACAATCGAATGGGTACCCTATTAAGTGTAACTTTGTATATACAATTAATCTTTTTTGTCATTGAAGTTAATGATATTCTGTACTAGATTCCTAATGTTGGAAAGAAGATATCTTAATTCGAGTTTTTATGTCTTTTATATCTGTTACATGTAACTATGTCAATGTTAAGTAATGTTCTAAAGTTCATGACCTATGATCACGAAGGGAGTTAGTGATGTTATAAATATTTAGGGACATAATTATTATTTTACTTGATTTAAAAAATAATTGCATTATAAATATAGTGTTATATGGAGAAAAGGCCTGTATAGAATTTATAACATTAAATATTTTTCTTAATTAAAACGTATTTAATATATTGTTGACGTCATGATAAAGTTTTATGATAGATCTGCTAAATGTTCAAATCTGTTTTTAATATCTACAGTAAAAGTTTTTTTTTTCATTGGCACTTCCCGATTCTGTGACCTCGGGCCTTTCTACGTACGTGACTAGTGACGGTAATTTCATATAAATCCGCTGATCTTGCAGACATGTTTATAATTTCGATCACATATTTGCTATATTACGTTGCAATTACTAGACTAAAGCCCTCTACACACTTTCAGTATTGAGACCACAGTTCGAACTGTGCGGATTAAACTGAAAGTGTATAGCAGGCTTTATTCCTACACTGTCACATTTAAAACTAATTTAGTAGTTTGGACTTGTTTAGATAAATGAGGTATATCATTGAACAGTGGAACTATAATTATTCGATACTTAATTTTTTTTGTGAATCGTTTTGGTTTGTTGATCTCATTGTAAAAAATGTATAGCCAAATTGGATAACGTAGTTCACTAGTTTTTTTATTATATTTGCTATTAACGTAGTTTAAAATTGATACAATGGCCTGTCTCCGGAAAATCTATTGGGTTTTAAGTCAGACTTATGACATTTATGCGTTTTTGATGCACAAAATATTTGTTTTATCTTTTTCTCGTACTTCGTTGCATTTGAAGAACATGAAAAATGACTGAGCACATAAATTATTCGTCGAATTAAATAACCATATCAGCATTATGATGGAAAATCGATATTCATTAAAGGACAATCGCAAGCTAGAAAACTAGTACCTTACTTATTAAATGTTGACAGCAATACGTCTATGTGTCCCTTAAGATAATCCAGGATAATAAAAAAAACATGTTTTAACTTTTTTATGTAAACATTTTATTATTGACACGTGTTTTGAGTGCAAGTTTACGCATGCTGCTATAAATAGCGACTCAGTCACAACATCGCAAGTGCCGGCAATTAAATGATAAGGGATGAGACCGGTCACGCTCGGCCGTCGCCTCACGCCCAGCAGATATTGTCGACTGGCCACTAATGGCACATCACGCCACTAGCAGATAAACACAATCGCAACAAAACCTTTGCCACCCACTGATCATGTTTAAAACTAAATATTACTTGTTCAGTATTCAACGGATCTCGTTTCCAAATCTGCGTTAGATTAAATTATTGATTTAAACGTTTAGGTGCTTACTAAAATTATTTGCTATAAAAGGGATATTTCAAATGCTTTATCCTCTTGCTTTTGATAAGAAATTAAATTATATCTATTGGTTAAAATTAAAGTTTTGTCCTCGTTTGTATTTAATACTTAATTACTTTTAATCACATTGTTTTTAAGACAAATATTTTTTTTTATAAGAAATTGCTTATCAATATAATTAATTAATAGGATGTAAAACTGTTTTGTTGTATTTTTTCGGGGAATATCAACTTATTGTTAAATGTTTTCCGTAAATGTGCATATTCGCCAACTATCGAGATAAAATTCACTGCCTGCGAATATCTGTGTTTGTGTATCATCAGGCGATAAAATCACTCCTATATATATATCTCCATTTTAAGGATTCAAAAGAGCTTCAAAATAAAATTGTTTACAAACGTAATCAGCTATGTCAATATGTATTAGTCATACACTCTTTGATTCTGTAAACAGCAAAATGGCATTTGGATATACCCACACCCAAATTAGACGTCTGATACCCATTTCGATCCCTTATGTTCAAAAGTACCCATATTTTAGATACTAATGTTAACCTTGTTGGTATCATTTGGCCGTTCTTGTGTTATAAAAAAGATTATTTGTTTGTTGCTGACAAACAGTAGAGTTAAAATCTAAACTTGATCACATTTGAAAATTAAAGTGTTGATTTGAACGATATTTTCTGTACGACATATCCTGTATTCTAACGATATATCCTATATTATAGAGGTGTAGGCATATTTTTAGCTGTTATAATTTATAACGTGTTATTTGTTTTATTGTGCAGTCGTTGCGGCTAGCGGCGCCGTTTAGCACGGATGCTATGGCGGTAGCTGAACGTGAGCGGTGCGCGTACGGACGTATCCCGCGCGCCGCCGCCCTCGCCGGCACTGCACCGCGCCGTGTGCGCGTCTACTCCGATGGCATCTACGACATGTTCCACCAAGGACACGCAAGGCAGCTACAGCAGGCCAAGAGCGTCTTCCCCAATGTATATCTCATAGTCGGAGGTGAGTTGTTCATACCTTTTTATATAATTAGTCAGCGTGTGCCAATGTTTGTAGAAAACACGCTATTACAAACCACAACGCACTTCGTTTTGGTAGAATGTTTTGCCAATAGTACCGGTATACCATTTGAATAGGAATTTGGTTAAAACGTGTAAAAAGGCCTGACTAACAATATTTGAAACTTAGCACATTGTTTTGTAAACATTTCGCCTACGTGTAAAATGTCCTTGTGATGTCATTATGTAGAGCATGTCAAACGTCACAGTATTGAACAGAGGAATTCCGATAGAGTTGGCTGGCGGGCTGATCGTATCGCAATAATATCGTTACTGCTGCCAAAGCTTCAACCAATTACTTAATAAATATTACGACAATTATCTTATACATTGCTAATGTACTAAGAAGAAAATTGCGGACATCGTAAGCTAAACTTTAATTAAATGCGTATTCCGGGACCGCTAAACTAATCGATCGAAATTATTAAAAGTACTTACTGTCATCATGACAGTATTGAATCAGATCTGCATTTGATTATCAGCAACGGCAATACTGCTTTGCTGGAACTGAAACTTCTTATTGCAATATGAAGATAAAACTAGATACTGTTAGATGTAGTTTTTAAAGACGTCACTTCTAGTCATCCCGATAGACTGGTGAGCAACGTCATTCGGAAATAACACAATGAACGGTGATCTCATATTCCGGAGAGTACAAGGAATTGTCATACAAACAATGATTCATCCAATCCGTTAGTTAGTTAACTTTTAAAAGAAAATATTACACAACCGAGTTAGATAAGGACGGCAGGACTGCACTGCGAAGGATATCGATTGTGCTCGAATGCTGCATTGCTTGCACTACGCAATTTGTCTTCAGACTAAATGCTGGCAATACTGTAGTGGTACAATTATGTAAATATTGCCAAATTATATTTAAACAAATGTAGAGCAATGTTTATAAACACCGTTAGAGATTTCAATCATCGCCAAATCTGAAGCGTATTTTTCCTAAACAAAAGTACATGATGTGAATGACTAATATTTCTATAATGTTTTACAGTACTCAATTTATTTTGTTAATTGCACTCGTATAATCGATTTAGTAAGAAACCGGAACACCATAGCACCACTATCATATTCAACTTCTACAACGGGAACTACTAAGTACAGGCCAAAGCACTGTTTGGAATGTCGTATGTCCGCTATCCGCTAGTAATACCAAAAGAAATTAAAGAACGGATGAATAACACTCATGTTGCCACTATAGATACAATAATAAACACAACTACCAACAAATATTTACTTATCAGTGGATTCCGAACATTTCGTAATGAATTGAAAATGCAACCGTGGAACGTAATGGCTTCTTTGATTGGTCGACGTTCCTCGTACGAGTTTTATCTTGCGATACAAAGATATCTTGAAGCTTTAATTACGTACAATATAATTGGTGTTATCACTTTTGTGGCAATAATGTAGCTTCGATTGTGATAAAGTAACGCGTGACACATTGAGGCTAGATTTAATGACTGCCCTACTCCGATGTCCCAGCCAATATTCATTAGGCCAAGTGCGAATAACAAGGCCATTATTGATTGATGATTTCAAGTTCGATATTTGGCTTAAGCGCAAAGTTAATGACGTATTTAGATAATAATTATTCAAAGATACCGTTGTAATATCTAAGAATTATTATTTGTCGAGGTTTTAACGTGTTTAAAAACAGTTTCTTATATCATTATAAAGATAAGAAACTTACGTACGTTATTTAAAAACGGATTCTGTTTGTACGGGAAACGTGCCAAGTACGAGATTTTTTCAATGATGCAAATGAAATGCTTTTACTTCATTACTTAAATGCTACAAATCAGACTTCATCCTTTCCCTGTAAGACTAAAATGTATCTGATTGACAAGGGAAAGCTTTTTCACGTTTTTTTACTTGTTTAAATATAGATTTTTCAAGACATTGTCTTGTTTATGGAAGAGATGAACTAAGGTTGTTATAAATTTAAAATCTTAATTGCAGTATGCAACGACAACCTGACACATAGCCGCAAGGGACGCACCGTGATGACGGAGGACGAGAGGTACGAAGCGGTCCGGCATTGCAGATACGTTGATGAGGTAATTTCAACCCTATTTTAAAGTGTTTAAGAACTATTTTGTGTCTAGTATCCTTATCTTATCAGTAGTGATGCTAATATACACACAAGTGATAAATTTTCACGTTGACTTAGATAAGGTCAGAGATTTAATTCTATGCCTGATTGCAATTATGTTTTATTCTTCAAAAAAAAACTATTTGATATCGTAGCCAAACTAAATCAGTTTCGATTTGTTGCTTAGCAACAAAATTACTTGACGGTTTCTATTTTAATTCCCCCATACTTTTTCACCCTAATGTAAATAAGTAGATTAAATTTAAATTTAGACTTTCGAAAGGACTTCCATCTTGGTTATTTCTAGCATCAAATAAATAAAATTTTCGTTGTCAATGTTTTTACGGATGATGAACAATTGCAGTGTTTAAGCTTTAATTACTGTACCCAATAAAAAACACGTTTTTAATCACTATTAATTAACTAAATGAGAAATAAGGATATTACGTAGAAATAAAGGGAAAAACATTCATTTTATAAAAAGTAACCTTTGATTCGTGGATTTACCGCACACTTATTATGGATTTAATTTATCTACCAAGAATTAAATAAATAAAAGAATAGAATTTTTATTGCCACAAAAAAACTACACAATTAAAGCATAGTTAATTATCAATCCCGATGTTTTTTCATTATTACTTAACGTTAATTAAATAAAAATATATTATCTTTAGTCGTCAGTAAATTATGCAATTGTTTTATAAAACCATTAAAATTAAATTATTCTACATCAAAAATTATCTGTGTAATTTTAGTTCCCTTCTTTTGTAAAATGATGTCATTAAATTACTAGTTGTAATGGAAAATAACCGGTACAAGTATTAATTAAAATTGTTATGTGGTGTGTGATGTATGGAGTTGCGCGCGTATCAATTTGCTCTATCTCACTAAATAATGGTCAATGACAAGCTAAGATGATGTGCCTGATGTAATGTTCTAGAAGAAAAAATACGATAAAGTTTTTGATATTGACTTGAAATTAACACAATACGATTAAAAATCTTACGAAAATATATAAAGGCTTTTTAAGTAAATGTTTATTTTTCTCTAACTATCAAAGACTATTTCGAGTAGATGTACTATATGGATGTTCTGTGCCATATAAATGTACTATGTATGTAGAATTTGTCACTTATTCTGAAAAGACTCGTAAGTATAAGACTAACCTAAATTAAAAATACTAGGTATGTAGGTTATTTACTTTATAATTAACGATAAGTTGCTAACAGCTTAACCAGTTTTCACATGACAGTTTGTGAGTGACACTTATTTCCACTAACTGAACTTTTTACAATTTTTTTTACGCTCCTTAAAAGATAGTGCTAACTGTACACATTAGTAGTTGGATAGCAAATACTGCCTTCATATGAATAAGTTGCAGAAAGCATAATAGTATAGTATTTTATCCTTGCTAAAAAACTTTTTCGCTAATGTTTTTACCATAAGGTATAAATCTAGTTTCTTTATAAAAAACCACAATCAACTTGTAACAAATGTTCAAAATATTTAGACTCCAACATAACGAAACTCTGCATAATTAAAATGCACTTCAGTGAGCGAAGCCAGAATGCGGATCGTCGATTTTGTAAGAAATAGCGTAGGTTCGCGTTCGTAGCGGGCTGCATTGTTAGAACCCTCTCGACACCCACGCCCTGCTTTATCTAGGTCGCTGCCGTTTGCCTATGCAGCACTTCACGTCTCGTGAAAGATCTCTACAATGCTTACTTCTAATTATTAAGAAACATTTTTCATTTGAAAAAATATTTGTCTGTACTTTATCTAGAAATATCGGGTACTTCCCTACTATCTTACGAAAGAACGTTTGTAATCTCTGGCAACACTATTAGAATTTATTGAAATGTTTCCCAGGTGGTTAGAGACGCGCCGTGGGAATACGACGAGGAGTTCCTGGAGAAGCACAAGATCGACTTCGTGGCGCACGACGACATCCCCTACACGACGGAGGACTGTGAGGATACATACGCTATGATCAAGGCAAAGGACATGTTCGTCGCCACAGAGAGGACGGAAGGTCAGTCTTATAATATAGTCATACTTTTAACATAAGAATTACATTTCATATTTCAGCTACATAGTATCTTAATCAATCAGCTTAAATGTAAAGAACCAATCCATAAATTAAGTAAATAATTCTTCGCTTCCTAATAAATCGAATACATACTACAAAAGTTTCAAAAGTGAATAACCCTCGCCTTTTATAAAGTTATCGCATATTAAGTTGTGTATTTTTATAAAATTACAATGGATATTTAATTAAAATTGTATCGATGTTTCTACTTTGTCAGGCGTATCGACGTCGGACATAGTGGCGCGCATCGTACGCGACTACGACATCTACGTGCGCCGCAACCTGGCGCGAGGATACTCCGCCAAGGAGCTCAACGTATCCTTCCTTAACGAGAAGAAGTTCCGTCTCCAGAACAAGATGGACGAGCTCAAGGATAAAGGGAAAAAGGTAAAACCATTTAACCAAACATGCCCTTAGAATGTTCCAGATCAAACTCTCCTAGTGGAGTTATTCTCAAACTTTACACGAAATATTTTTATAAGCAATTTCATCATTCAT